AACACTTTGTCCCACTTCTGAATGAAATTAATGTTTATTGTGTCATCAAGAGCTGACAACATGAATGTTTACAAAAGAGGGAAAAAAATATAAACTGTGCTTGGTTTGAACTGTGCAACACAACTGTGCAACACAACTGCTCCTGGTTATGTTGGTGTCCACACATATCCAAATGGTGTGGAGCTACCTTATAAAATTAAAGTTTAGAACATTGCAAATTGGTTCAATATTAACAGAGGTTTTACATACATGTATTCAAACTCAGGTCTCTCTTGCACCCACCTGCTGCTCCCCCTTTGGGTATTTGTCTATAGAAACCGCCTGGGCTGCCATCACTCACTGCCAGCACTGGGGCATTATAGAAACCAGGGACAGATGGCCAACCTACACAATACACAAGTTCAGTTAAACCACTGCCACAATGAAGACAAAATTCTAGAAATTCAACCAAACAGGCTGGATAAATATCTGGAAAAAGACTAAAACTTAGTAATAAAATATATTTTCCACATACAAACCCCTTTAACACTGCTGCGATACAGTATTAACCATATCGACAGCTAAAAGTTCAATAAAATCTCCTGATTCCAAGAACAAAACGGAACGTGGAAGAGTCATTACAAGAAGAAAGGAAAGTGAGACAGGGTCTAGGTACAGCATTCATCACTTTATTTCTGTACACCTTTAATAATTCAGTTAATAACATAGTTATGTAGAGTTGGCGTGCAACCGTGTTAACACACCCACCATGAATTAGCTTTTACCCGATGTTAGCGACAGACATTTTGTACACAATACATTTCATTATTTGGGACAATTTTAACACACTACTTTCACACGTGGATGCAAATGTTTAAAATTATAAGCTGCAAAGTTTGAATGAAGTCGCTTTCTTAGCTGTGCTGTAACGATAGCACCACGTTAGCGTTAGCTTGCGATACAAGTCTGATGCAAAACATCCAGCTAATGCTAAATATAGTGAGCTAGTTGCTAGTCTTGGACGGCAATAGCCAACAATCGTCGACAGTATCACATTAAGACGAAGATCTAATTATTAAATAAGTGTAGAAATATATCGCAAAAATAAAACTAACGTAACTAAGCGGCTACGGAAAATAAGACCGCAGCAGATTGATATGCAGCAAGACCAACGGATATGAAACGTTTCATTTTGGTTTTGGTCGAAAAAACAATAAGTGCTTGTTAGTTTTCTCTACTGAAAATAGATTAGAAGAAGGAAAACGTTAGCAGCACATGACGGCAGCTTGCTTTGAGCTCAAATCCTTCCCATCAGTCAATCAATCATGCAGGGACAGCTGCCGTCTCCTTGTCTCTTCTCCCCTCCCCTCTGCGCCAACACTGCCGGGCCTAATCTACAACTGTGGCCCTTTACTTCAGCACAATCCTCCTCTCCTCTGCCCCGAAAACGCAGAGGTTTTTCTTGACCCCCTCCCTTATATACATATTTATATAAAAAATATAGAGACCTATAGATAGATAGAAGTTATCACAATAGCTTTATCGCTTCGACTTCATTTCAAAAACAGTCTCGGCTGTTTTGCCCAGGTTCACGCTCTTTGCCCCGGGGCATTTTAGCGTGCGGCCCAGATTGTTTGATTGATAGGGAACGGAAAAAGAGGGATTTTGAGTGACAGCTTACCTGAGTGCCAATCTTCGTCACACTGACAAGCGGTTGCAGCAATCGGGACCCGCAGTTGTCGTGTTGCGTCATCACGCAAGGGCACGTTGTTGCGCTATGCTCATGTATATGTATGAGGCGGGCGGAGAAATGACGTCCTGACGCTTGGCGTCGTCGGTAGATGTTTTTAGTTCGATTTTTTGCTCATTTGAATAAGGATTTCTTTGATTTCAACATTTACATTTCAGTTAAGATACGTAACATAAGTATGTTAGCTCATAAAAATGAGCTAACATTCGTATGATTCATTTCTAATCAGGACAACTGGTTTAAAACAATAATCATTACAATAGAAATATATACACCATGTGCTCATTCTGCTCTATTTTCACGACCCCTCAAGGCTTAGAAGTAGCCTACAAAAAAGTTTGAAAAAAAAAATGAAAAAAAAAATCACATTTTAATTACCACATGCCTCAACCGAAGCTTCTTCAGCTGGTAGAAATACCAGCAGGGTATCATAAGCAAGTTCTCTTTTTACATGGCACTAAAGAAAGGAGCCATTGCATCAGACAAAAACACTTAATTTCTTACACTTCTTTAATCATATCACATTTTAACAAACGATTTAGCAACATAACCACCACCACTGTGCACACCACCTACTCCCTAGTGTCTGGGTGACAGTTTTCCGGACGAGGGCTGAGGACGATACTTGGCCATCTCTACATCCAGGTCTGCAAATGTGTAGCTGGTGTAGCTGTGGTGCTGGTAGTTTTTGTAAGTGCTGTTGTCAAAAGATTTCTCAGGCTCTGGAGGTACTGCTGCTGACTCTGCAGAAGAAAATGAGAACCTCATGACGGAGATGCATCTTGCTGCATTTCACACATGAAACACAAACCAGGTCAATTATCTTGGAAGCATTTTTTCTCTTCCCCTAAAATCAAACTGTTGGCAGGCATTCATCAATAAGCAGGAAGAAATCAGAAATGGACTACGAGGACTTTTGGAGGCTGCAGTTACATATTCACATGCTCTGATAAAGAAGCTTATAATATCACATTTCCCAAAATAACAAGGCTTGTATGAAGACACATTTGTGGGAAAGACCTCAAGGCTCATGTTCATGGCATATTAAATAGAAGCCTGTAAAAGTAAAATACAACACAGAGAAACTTCCACTGACAAGACTCATTAGGACATGAGGAAAATGGGGGTGCGGGGTGGGGGCGGGGCAACTGAAAAATCAGCACATATTTAGTCATATACATTTACATCTAAATATCACTGGAAAACTGCTGGCAATGAAAATGTCAAGCTCACAACCAAAGGAGAAAAAAATTCAAGAGCAATTGAAATATTAGTCAGTTGCACATCACCTGATTACATATATATTAGTGTGTATATAACCTTTGGCAATATTTGGCACTATATTGCCAAAAGTATTTGCTCACATGCCTTAATTCACATATGAGCTTAAGTGAGATCCCATTCCTAATCCATAGGGTTCAATATGATGCTGGTCCTCCCTTTGCAGCCTGAACAGCTTTAGCTCTTCCTTTATTGTCCTCAAGGTTTAGGAGTGTGTTTATGTGGATTTTTGACCATTCTTCCAGAACGCATTTGTGAGGTCACATACTGATGTTGGACAAGAAGGTCTGGCTCTTAGACTCTGCTCTAATTCATCCCAAAGGTGATCTGTTGGGTCAGGACTCTGTGCCAACCAGTCAAGTTCAGCCTCACCAGTCTCTGCCATCCATGTCTATATGAACTGTGTGTTTTGTTCATTGGTGCAAAGTCATCTTGGAAGAGGAAGGGGCCAGCTCCAAACTGTTGCCACAAAGTTGGGAGCATGGAATTGTCCAAAATGTCTTGGTATGCTAAAGCATTCAGAGTTCCTTTCATTGGCACAAAGGGGCCAGGCCCAGCTCCTGACAAACAACCCTCCACCAAACTTTACACTTGGCACAATGCAGTCAGACAAGGTAACCGCCAAATCCAAACTCGTCCATCAGATTACCAGATGGGGAAGAACGATTCATCACCCCACAGGACGCATGTCCACCGCTCTACAGTCCAGTGGTGGTGTGCTTTACACCACTGCATCCAAGGCTTTGCATTGCACTAGGTGATGTACTCTGTAGAAAGTTGCTGACCTCTTGGCATTCTGCGCTTCAGCGTCTCCTTACCCTGCTCCGTCATTTTATGTGGCCTACCACTTCATGGCTGAGTTGCTGTCATTCCCAAACACTTCCATTTTCTTATAATACAGAGGAATGTGGAATATTTAAGACTGAGGAAATTTCAGAACTGGATTTGTTGCACGGGTGCCCTCTAACCACAGTCCCACACTGGAATTCACTGAACTCCTGAGAGTGAGCCATTCTTTCACAAATATTTATAAAAACAGCCTGTATGCCTAAGTTCTTCATTTTATACACCTGTGGCCATGGAAGTGATTGGAACATTGGATTCTGATCATTTGGATGGGTGAGCAAATGCTTTTGGCAGTAAGAGTGTATATATTTCCATGCAGAGTGGATACAAAAGGTATTCAGGCTATATGCCACTTTGCTGCGACCCGTCACACCACAGTCTGAATACTTATGATCATGTGATATTCCAGTTTTTGTCCTTCAATAAATTTTCAAAAATGTCTACATTTCAGGGGGGTTTTCTGTCAAAATTGTATGCTGAGTGTACATTCATGAGAAATGATATGAACTTGTTTGATTTTAGAAAATGGCTGTGATCAAAAAGTGAAAATTTTAAAGAAGTCTGATTACTTTGTGTATCCATTGTACATACATAATTAAATCAAACCAGAAGAAGGAATGAACCATAAAGTCAAGGAAAAGTATCCTCAGATGTTTCCCTCAAATTAGCTGGATGCCAGGAATAAGTTTGAAGGTTAGATGTTAAAGTCATAAAAGTTTAACAGTATATGAGTGAAAGAGAATGTGAGGGAACCTGCCAAAGACCTTATTCTTAGGGACAGGAAGAACAAAGCCTATCTGCAGCATTAAAAGTTTGGAGTGAGGGGCAAGGCGGGTGTATTGTATACCCTCAGGCTGTTCAGCAGAGGTCTCCTCATACAGCTCCTCTCCAGAAGCTTCCACGAGCGCCCGGGCAGAGTCCTCCGTCTCAACAGGCCAACTTCAGCTGGATGATCAGCCACTACTTCAGCAGAGACAGTTTTTGACTGTACAGGCCCAATAGTAGAAGCTTTTTCCCATGATTCTTCACCAGCATCCACAAAGCCATCTTCAAGTTCCATAAGCACATCTGCTGCTTTTAAAGGAGAATTTGACTGGGCTTTTTCTGGAGCTTCATGTTGCTCTCACAAGTACAGCTGAGCTTCACACAGGGTATCAGTAGGAGCAGTATGGGTTGAAAAAGCAGAACTGGTAAGCTCAGCTGCACTCTTTGTAGCAGTAAGGATATCAAAGACTTGCAAATTATCTTTGGAGGCCTCTACTACAGATTGATCTTCTGCTTCCTCTGAATTAGGTAGGCCCTTTGTCACTCCGCTAACTGTAAACTCTTTCATTTCTCTCTGTTCTTGATGACTTGGTAGTTGCAATTCCAGAGAAAAGCTTCTGGTTTGGGTTTCTAAATTCTCATCTTCAGGAAAGGACTCTGAGTCTGAGTCTGAGTCTGAATCAGATTCACTGGATGATGAGGAAGACAGTTCTTCAGCTGCTGAATTCCCAAGCTTAGAAGAAACCGTAGTTGGTTTTACAACATCATCTATGGTCACAGCAAGGGAAGGAATGTCTTCTGGCACTGAGCCTTTACAAAGTGCCTCAACTGAAGCTTCTTCTGCTGGTACATATACCGGTAAAGTATCATGAGCAAGTATCTGAGAAACTTCTTCTTGGCTTTGATACAGATCAGATGAAGCAGTGACAGTCGGTGATTTTCTCCAGCAGATTTAGTGGAAGCTGTAACAGATGCTGCAGTTTTTTCTGATGTGGCAGTGAAGTGGACTGGCTCTTTAGTTACACCTAGAAAGTTTGGCAAAATTCCAGGTTCCAACAATTTAACTGGAAAGGCCACAGTAGTCTTGTAAGTCCACATAGCTGCCCTCTCATCTTCACCTGCTGAGGAAGAAAATAAATTGTACACAAATAGGTCAATGCTAGCAAATGTTACTAAACAGAACATTTTTCTAAAAACTATTTTCCAAAATCTTGATCTCACACTTTGCAAACAAACTTTACTGAAATTCACCACAGAAAGACCACGGAATACATATTTAGCTTACTTCTGGCTTATCTTACAGAGAGCTAAAAATATGGTATGTATAATGTTTTCCAAAACACATGCACTGAAAAGTAAATGAAATAAAATCACTATGAGTTACTAAAAAGTAAGGAGTACATTTATATACAAAATACAAATTAAAATGATAATTTCAGATTTAAAAAACAATGATGCAAGTGATGCATAGCCCATTTAAAATTAATCTCCATACACACAGACCATTAAAATTCATTTCAATATAAAGTGACAGACTATAGTTACTTGCACATAAGAAAACAGAAAAATGCTACAGAAATACAAAAAAAAATCTAAGGAAAATGTGGGTTAATGATACACAACATCATGATCACAAGTTTTCTTAACATTGTGATATAGGAATTAATCATAAGCTGTAATCAACTAAAACAATGTTTAAAACTGTACAACCCAGGACCTCCGATGAGCAAATGAGATGCTAAAAGCTCAGCAAAGTAGCTCCTTGACAAATTCTAAAAGTTTCCTTTTTCTATGCAGGACATAAAATACACTAATGAGTGAGTCACAATGCCTAAGTCCAAATACAAATAAGCTCTACTGTCTCAACAGTTGATTTTACAAGAAGAAAAAATGAATGAAGAATGCATGACTAGCCTCTCGGACTTGGAAGCGTTACTGGCAGCTAACGATATAGCTGACGAGACAGCTAATTTACAAACTGTTCTCCAAGAACTAAGAGAATCACATTGTGAAAATGCAGAGGGCTTCCGAGAAGCTAAAGAGGAAAAAAACCAAGCGGGAGACTGGACGTATTTTGGACGGATCTAGCAGATTGTAGAGCCAGCTGTGAAGCTAAGTAAATCACAGGATGAGCTTGAAGCTGAACTAATTGAGTTCGAGGGAGATCGAGACTCCATGGCATTGTAAAAGATTCTGAGCACAGTTCTTCCTCTATGGCAGCCTTCATAGAGATCCTACTATAAGACAAATGAGATATTCTGACATTATTTGACCTGGGCATTGAAAGAGCTCACCTCTCTCTGGGATCCAGGCTTCCACCTGATGCTCCCTCATATTCAATAATAGTCAAGTTCAAAGATGAAGTACTGAAACGAGCCTGGCAAAAGAAAGGCTTTAAGCTGGCAGGGAAAAGAGTAATAGACAATGGCTGTGTCCCAGACATGCTGCTAAAACATAGACAAGTACAAGTTGAAGTGAAGCTGGTCCTCTGAGAAACGAAGCTCGAATTCCAGACCCCATTCCCAGCCAAGTTGATTGTATTTTACGAGAACAACACACGTCTCTGCAACTACACATCTGTAGCAATAAAAGACATGGTGAGTTGAGGCTTCAAAGTCACCGTCATCCAACTATCTATAACCTGGGTTGACAAGATTAAGAGTGTGATGTGGGCCAAGTCGGGAAGGACAGAGAAGGAGCAATCAATGAATGAAACACAGGAGGGATATAAGAAGAAACTGGATGCTTGTAGAAGAGAACAACCCAACCAAAAAGGACAAAAGGAGCAGAAGGGTCGAACATATCCCATTTCTTTCTGACGTGAGTTGGAGTCGAGGATCGTACACCATAAAAGACACCACCCGGAAAATGGAACGCCATAACTAGCAAAAAATTTAATTAATAAACTGCAGGATACCAGATATTTAATAATCACAAAGTGATTATGAAGTGGTAATATCCAGAGAAATGTAAAAGATTGTATTGCTCTTTGTGAACACATGAAACACATTTTCGTTAAGTTGTTCTTAAATTAAAAAAATAATAATAATAAACTGCACAACCCTTGGCAAAATAACTATAAAAGAACTACAGCAGACATTCAATTCCACAGGTTAGGGAGAGATCTGTAATGGGGTTTTCCCCATTACGATTTCTATACATGAAACAGAACTTTAAATTCTTCTACTGAACTTATTGTATAAGTTTGGTAGAATGTTCCCTGATGTTTCAGATCGCTCTCACAAAAGGACATGGGGGTAAACTGATCAAATTGGTTATTATTGTTTTGTCTGTGATGGACTGGCAACCTGTCCAGGGTGATCTCGCCTCTCTCCCGTTGACCACTGGAGATACGCACCAGCACCCCACTCAACCCATCTAGGAACAAGGGTGTGTGATACTGAGACCCCATAAACCCTCACAATTTGAAGGGAATTTGTCAAAATAAAAAAATAACAATATGAAACTACCATTATGTTCGATAGGCAGCTTTTCTGAGTGTGAATTACTTGGGTCACTTCCAACACTTAGTCTCGTTACAGATTTTTTTTTTTTTTTTACAGAGAAAAACATTGACGTGTGCCCTACTTATTTTACGTGCTGAACACATACGCGGCATTAGAGTGAAAGATGTAAAACATAATATCACCACATGTAACTGGCCTTACTCTTGTCTGGATCCTTTGTATTTTTCACTGGTTTTACCGACTCTTTAGCTTCACTGCAGAACAAACCAGGGGGTTGACGTCTCAGAGTGCCCCAGCTGTCAAACTGGAGGAACAAAAAAAAAAAAGAAGAAAGTTTTGGAAAGAAATACTGTACAAACAAATTTAAGTATTACATATTGTTTTTCAGCCAAAAACATTGAACAAAGTATAAAGTTCCAGCCAGCTCAGTTGACTCAAATTAGGAGGAATTGCATTTGACACGATTCAGACAGGTTTGTTAGAAACTCCATGAGGTAGAGGCCTCAACAATTGCCTCCATCAATGTCTACATGACACACAGAGAACAATTTGTGAGACGGAAGGTTATGTGTTTAACCCAGGAGTCAGCAGCACACCATATGGGACTAAATTTCCATCAATATTTTTATTCTCTGTGCACCTCAAACTTTCAGGTCGAGGACACACTCCTGGCATCGGTGCTATTACTTTGCAGTAATTGGGTGTATGATATGGATTCCATAGAATGCTTTGTAGAAGGGGGTGGGAATAATCTTGAATGTGAACAAAACGACTGACTGTAAATAGAGTAAAAGTAAAAAAAAAAAAAAAAAAATTAAAATCACAAATTATATATTTTATTGTCTGAACAACATGAAAATGGTGCAGATAATGACAGCCTGAGTATTTTATGTGCTTATTATGTTCTATGCTTTTACAGTATGTGGACACTTAAACTAGAAAAGAACTCCAAACAAAACCCACTAAGGAATTTCGATGTGCTTGTGAAGCTTCAGAAATAAGGAGTTTGTAACCTTTGTCCTCAATCCACCTGTTTTATGTCCACCCTAACAAAGTGGACAAATTGTCACTTCTCAAGTTTTAAAAACTTAGACTATCAAGGATTTTCTGCCCTCTGCTTCACTAAAACATTGAACAATGAGTACAACCCAGACAATCCACTTCTGATGTTGTGCTTCCAGCTTTTTGGGGCATACTGCACCTCAGAGGTGGAATCTGTTTTTAAATTAATGAATGTTGGTGTACTGATGTCACAGAAGACATGTAATCATCTGTAGTCCAATCTTATTGACAGCTGTCAAAATACCTGCAATATAACAGGTTGTCCCTTAATTTAAAGAATTAACTGTAAAATAATATTTCAGTTCAGTATTCAATGTTTTTGTTGTGTGTAAATCTTGAGTGGAAATGATGGAAATGTGTTCTACACAAAAAAAACAAAAAGATTAACCCACAAAACACCTTTTCATGTCACATGAGTCTTTCTCTCACTATCTTCTTGCAAATTTATTACTTTCAAAAAGTTCACTCAGCCATTTAGAGAACGTTAACTCAATAAGATTTTAGGATTTTTGTAACTTCTGTACTGTTTTTCTTTTGCAACATTTTATGATCTGTATCTGATAAGCTCTACAAATTAAAACAATGAAAATTTTACTTGATGCTGTGAAAATTTGATTATTGAGATTATCACCTTTAAAATTTCTTCATGGGATTGTTGTGCTCAATAAAATTATCGGAGGTTTTTATTGGTTGCTTTGACCAAGAAAATAAACAAAATCCCTGAAGTCTATTTTTCTAGATGTCTAAAACAACTTGTGCAACAATGATTGAGGTCATGGGACACAGCCATAAATAAAGTTACTTAAAAGTATTGAGAAATAGCTCTCACTTTATTCACTATCACAATAATACAACAAAATATCGCAATAAATCCTAAATCTATTTCGTTCAGCCCTAGTCTCAGGATAAGGCTGTGCTTTTTTCTGCTTTATTACAGGAGTCATAACTTCTCAATAACGCTATGTTCTAAATTAAAACACATAAATAGTTTCAAGATGTGTTTATCTTAGTTTTTAAAAAATCTATTGTCAATTTCATTTTTCTTTTTTTGCAACTTTGAGGGTCATTAGGAACGCTACCGCCCATCATGTCACAACATCAGCTTCCAAGCATGCGCTTTAAAAAATTACTTATATGATGTCGTTAATGACCTAACATCATCATAGAATACAGTTTAAAAGCTTTTGTATCAGATAACTAAATATTACCTTGAGTGCACCAAGTCGACTTGAACGCAGCAACCAGGCGGCCATTTTGTGTTCCTACTGTTTTGTTCCGACTGGCCTCAACGTCTGTGGTTAATACAATGGTTCCACGAAGAAGCAGCTGCAGGAAGCAAGTTCACCGAGAAGGACTCGCGAGAAAGACCAGACGAGAGAACTCGCGAGAAAGACCAGACGAGAAGAACTCGCGAGAAAGACCAGGCGAGAAGGACCTCGCTGCAGCAAACAGAAACGGGCAGGGACGGACCTTTTTCTTCTTCTTTTTGTTTTATGGCAGTTGGCAAACAACTTACAGGTTCATTACCGCCACCTTCCAGACTGGAGTATGGATAAGATGTTAATCCACTATAATCTTCCTATAATACCTGTTCTCCTTAAAAAACTAAATATACTATTAAAAACTACATCCCCAGAATATCTTTGAAGCAAATCCATAATATCTCATTTATTTTTATTCTTATTTAGATCATGAATTAAAACCTCCCTTTCATGAACGTACTTACTGCATTCTAAAAACATATGCTGTATTGTTTCTAATTTTCCACAATAATTACAAGACCTGTTCTACATTTATTAATTATTTTAAGAGTACTGTTTAATCCTACATGTCCAAACCTTAATCTAGATATATTATCCTCTTCTTTTTTACTCCTCTTACATTTCCTGAATTCCCCAACTTTTTTTTGGAAGCTATAATAAAATCTTGCATTGCTTCTTCTATCCCACTGTTCCTACCATTTCATCTTAATATACATTTTACTAAAGTTTTAACCTCGTTTTTGCTTATTTTAATATTTAAATCAACAATACTCTTTTTTGCTGCATCCTAAAAATTGAATGAATACTATCCAATATAATATCTTGCTTTGATTCTGAATTTAGTTCTAAAATACTTATTAATGCACTACTTGAATCTGAGCAAATTAAAACCTCGCTCTCTCGTTTCCTCAATCCATTCTAAAGCCATTAATATAGCCATTAGTTCACTGGTATACACTATCAACTTATCTGTTATTCTTTTATTTCTCATAATATCTACCTCCGGAATTATAAATGCTATTATTAGATTATTAGATTTTGGAAACAAATAATTTTTTCAAAGTGTTTTAAAAGCCTTATTTCTCAGTTTAATTGCTACTGAACACTCTAGTGTACACCAAGGAATTATCTTCTTCTTTTTAGTACCACTACTTCTAGGAATGACTATTTATGCTGTATTAATAGTGCTTTTACTAATTTCTAAATTTAATTCATTTATCGGTTTATTCAAATCTATATTTATTATATTAATCTAATTTATTATGTTAGATTTATCCCAATTTGCCTCCCCAAATTTCCATTTCCCTTCAACTTCTACCTGGTCTTCTTCTATATTTGTTCCTACCTTAACAAAAAATTGGATAATGATCACTTTCTATTGTACTTTTTTTACATACCCTCCAGCTCCATCTATCTGCAAAAATTGAGATACCAAGGTCAGATCAATATCTGATTCTCTACCTCTTATCAAATCCACCCGAGTGCCTATGTAGCGGAGTTGATTTTATTTACTTATTTTTTATAATAATTATGAACCTTCTCAAAAAACTTTTTGTTGAATTGACATGTCTGTTGTTTTTGATTCCTGATGTTGTTTTGGGAGGACGGTTATTGATGTCGCACAAAGTGGGGTTCTGTGAGGCTGCAGCAGCCAGGCAGAAGCTGAAGCAGCCAGACAGAAGCTGCAGCAGCCAGACAGAAGCTGCAGCAGCCAGACAGAAGCTGCAGCAGCCAGGCAGAAGCTGAAGCAGCCAGACAGAAGCTGCAGCAGCCAGACAGAAGCTGCAGCAGCCAGACAGAAGCTGCAGCAGCCAGACAGAAGCTGCAGCAGCCAGGCAGATGCTTCTGCCAACCAGGCAGAAGCTGCAGCAGCCAGGCAGAAGCTGCAGCAGCCAGGCAGAAGCTGCAGCAGCCAGACAGAAGCTGCAGCAGCCAGGCAGATGCTTCTGCCAACCAGGCAGAAGCTGCAGCAGCCAGACAGAAGCTGCAGCAGCCAGGCAGAAGCTGCAGCAGCCAGGCAGATGCTTCTGCCAACTAGGCAGAAGCTGCAGCAGCCAGGCAGAAGCTGAAGCAGCCAGACAGAAGCTGCAGCAGCCAGGCAGAAGCTGAAGCAGCCAGGCAGAAGCTGCAGCAGCCAGGCAGAAGCTGCAGCAGCCAAGCAGATGCTTCTGCCAACCAGGCAGAAGCTGCAGCAGCCAGGCAGAAGCTGCAGCAGCCAGACAGAAGCTGCAGCAGCCAGACAGAAGCTGCAGCAGCCAGGCAGAAGCTGCAGCAGCCAGGCAGAAGCTGCAGCAGCCAGGCAGAAGCTGCAGCAGCCAGACAGAAGCTGCAGCAGCCAGACAGAAGCTGCAGCAGCCAGACAGAAGCTGCAGCAGCCAGACAGAAGCTGCAGCAGCCAGACAGAAGCTGCAGCAGCCAGACAGAAGCTGCAGCAGCCAGACAGAAGCTGCAGCAGCCAGGCAGAAGCTGCAGCAGCCAGGCAGATGCTTCTGCCAACTAGGCAGAAGCTGCAGCAGCCAGGCAGAGGCTGCAGCAGCCAGACAGAAGCTGCAGCAGCCAGACAGAAGCTGCAGCAGCCAGACAGAAGCTGCAGCAGCCAGGCAGAAGCTGCAGCAGCCAGACAGAAGCTGCTGCAGAAGATGTTCTTCAGGTGATAGAAGGCCGACTTTGTAACTGTCTTTATGTGGCTCGCAAGGTTCAGGTCTTGAGTCCATCACTACTCCCAGGTTTCGGACTTGATCTCTAGTTTTTAGTTGTAATAACTGAAGCTGTGCATTGACTCCAGATCTATAGCTCTAGATCTGTAGCTCTAGATCTATAGCTCTATCAGCTCTTAGATCTAGATCTATATAGCTCTAGAGATCGTTCCTCTTTAGGTCCAAAAATAATGACTTCAGTTTTGTTTTGGCACATCCACACATTTATCTGTTCTAAGCATTTATTCAGTGATTGGATGGGGTCAAAGGTCACCTGGTGACATCATAATGTAGAGCTGAGTATCATCCGCATAGTTGTGGTAGCTTATATTATTTCCTGTTATAACCTGAGCTAGAGGGAGAATATAAATATTGAATAAGAGGATTGAACCTAGGTTGTGACCTTTGACCTCTTTGATGAGAAGTTCCAATTGAAACAAAGAAATCCCTGTCTTTATGTAGGATTCAAACCAGTCGAGCACCGAACCAGAGAGTCCAACCCCCAACTCTCCAGTCCATTCAGTAATATGTCAAAAGCTGCACTGAGGTCCAACAGAACCAGCACTGTGGTTCTCCCACAGTCTGTATTTATATGGATATCATTGAATACTTTGACTAGGCCAGTCTCCGTGCTGTGGTGAGCACGAAAACCAGATTGGAAAGAGTCAAAGCAGTTGGTCATCATGAGGAAATATTTAATTGTTTACACTGTTTTTTCAATAACTTTGCTGATGAATGGGAGGTCAGAGGTCGGCCTGTAATTCTGCAGTAGTGATTTGTCCAAATTGTTCTTTTTTAGCAGTGGTTTGATGACTGCTGTTTTCAAAGCCTGGGGGAAAACGCCTGATGTGAGTGATGAGTTACTATTTGGATCAGATCAGTAACAATAACAGGCAGGACTTTCTGAAAGAAATGTTCTAGAGTTATAGATCTAGAACATCCAGACAGCAGGAGCTTGAACTTCATTGACTTATAATTTGGTCTAGAGTTTTATAATGAAGTAGTTGAAAATGGGTCATTTTTTCTGTATTTATTTTGTTTGGGTACAGCAATGGTTCTGGCTTTAGAGTTGATGTGCAGATTAATCCTCTGATTTTTTAAAAATTTTCTCTGAAAAGAAGCTGGAAAACTTGTTACAGGCAGCATTAGATTAAAATTCAGGTAGTAATGTAATAGGAGGGTTTGTGAGCCTGTCAACTGTTGCAAATAAAGCTCCAGCATTGTTAATGTTTTTGTTTATGACATCTGCAAAGAAAGCCTCTCTTGCATGTTTTAGTGTTGATAATAATAATAATAATAATAATAATAATAATAATAATAATAATAATAATAATAATAATAATAATAATGAAGGAACTCGGTTCCTGTCTAAGAAAATTAAAATAATTGACTTACGTTAGTTACAGAGTCTTTCTTTATAAATGTCACAATGAACGTGAAGTTGAGTTTTACTCCATTTGGTTCTGCTCTGCGACAGAGTTCTCTTGCAGATCGAACTGTTTGTGCTTTTCTCATGGAGATTTCTTTCTACCAGTCAAAACCTTTACTTTAATTGGAGCAATGGAATCAATGATATGAAACTTTAGACTGAAAATCATCTAACACTGATCTACATCATTACAGTTTAAGGGTGAGGAGGAAGAGTAGATTTGATTAAATGTTTTCTGTGAAGGAACGTTTTGTGACAGTAGCTGTTTGTCCAAGTGGGTCAAAGAATAAAGAACCTTCAAAGATAACAGCAAAATGATCCGACAGGGCGACTTCAGTTACAGAGACATTGGAAATATTCACACCCTTACTGATAACCAGGTCCAGTGTGTGTCCTTGAGTGTGTGTTGCTTGTTTGACATGTTGTGTTAAACCAGTGCTTCTCAATTATTTTCCGTTACGCCCCCCCCTAGCAAGAAGAAAACTATTCGCGCCCCCCACTCCCCACCGTGACTATCCATTCTGCATAACATTTTTCCTTATTAACATTTTTTTCGCTGAAAAAACTCTAGCGGCTTATCGGCGTGATTGGGATGTAACGTATTTAAGTGACGCGCTAATATATTTGCCTTCATGATGTCCGCTGAAAGCATTTTTTGACACAGCAAAGACAGCGATCTTTCCTCTTCTCCAACTGTAGTCACAGTGAAGCCAAGCGCTAAATACGCTTCGTCGTAGTTCCTCTTCTTAGCTTTCGGTTGACTTTCTGTTGTCTCATTATCTTTGTCTCTCTCGCTTTTCTTTTCATCCCTGTGAAAACTTTTTCATGTTGGGGTTGTTGAATAACGGAGGCCATAGACAGAACGCAGTCGGAGCTTTTGTTGACTTAACACTGCTAACCAAGGCAAACCTGTTGTCTTGTAAGTCGTAAAATGTTGCACTGTCGCAAACGTGACAGAAGTAACATGAGAGCGCCACTGCCGCC